TGCATGCTGATTAGAATCTACATTACTCTTGCAGAAGAGACTCCGGTGACAGCGGAGCTGCTTAATGCTAAAGCCAGACCTCCTGCGCTCAGAGCCGTGTATTGTTCGCGCTAGACGAGGTTGGGTTACGGCGATGACATCGCTTCATATTCGACCCGTGCGCTCGGAAGCCGCTTTCTTATTGAGATGTAAATGTCTGGCGTGTCACTGCCTCGCGAATGCGCACGCATTTGCACAAAACTCTAAATAGCCTATTATGCATGCGCTTTTTCTGCATGATCGGAGCACCCGCTGGTTGTTCCACCTGGCATTTTGGCGAAGTTTCTCATCCATCAGTGGCATTACACCTCCTCAGTGAATGTTCATTAAAATGCATGCTTGCTCTGCAGCGTTAATACGTGTTTTTTCCCAGTTCTAGTAGATGATTAAATGCATGCATAACATAATATCATAGTGCATATATTATTAAGCAAATATTAAGCTGTTGGTGCCACCTAGCCTATATGAATTTTAGTAGGCTATTATTTATATGCTTCTATAATATTTTGAGTAAGCTTTTATTTTCTTAACTTTAGTTTTCATTTTAATTGCAATTTTAGTAATATTGTTGTGCCTTTGTACTTTTTATTATTTCTTAAAATATATATTTTGTAATATTTCTATTTAGCTACCATTAATTTACTGTCAATGCAAAAGTGCATTGTTTTTATTTCAGCTTTATTTCAATTGTAACAATTATAGTTTTTAGTTAGTTAACAAAAATAGCCTAATATAGCATGGTTTGTTGATGGCTGTTGTGCTATTACTTTTCTAAGTGATCAGACTTACAGTTTTGTCTTGGGTTGACTATATTGCTAATTTTGCAAAACTGAACTTGTAGGTCAGTTATCTTGGTTCTTTTGGTCCAGACCAAAAAAAGAATATGTTAGGCTACATTTAGTCCTGGTTCGCTTAGTGTTCACACTGTCATTTTTAACACCGAACTTATAGCCTACAATGTTCGATCAAACCAAACCTGCCAAGTGTAAACATGCCCTAGCATAACACTCAGAACACCCTAGCAACCGCATAGCAACACCCTGGAAACCGCCCACAGCACCCTAGCATCATTATGACTGTGTAAATGTGTGGAAAAAAAAACACACTTACAATTTAAAAACCTTTCTTATTTTCTTTTGAAATGTAATGCATTGTTTTGAACACTAATTTAGCTTTCTGAAACGCTATTTTACATTAGTTCAATAATCAATTGGACTAATTGCTTCGCAAAATGATTCACTTTTTCGAATCGCTTGAAACGCCACGCGCTAGTGACGCCTGCTGGTCAAAATGCTGTAAATGCAACGAAAACCCAGCTCAAACGTGCAGTGTAATTAAAGGGGTCATATGATGCGATCTCAATTTTTCCTTTCTCGTTGAAGTGTTACAAGCTCTTGGTGCATAAAGAAGATCTGTAAAGTTGCAAAGACTAAAGTCTCAAATCCAAAGAGAT